TTTGTTTTTTTTTTTGCAGGTTACTGTTGGAGAGCAAAAAGGAGAAAAAAAAAATAAAAAATAAAACCGGTACCGGAACCGGCACCGGTACCGGCGGTGCCAGTAACGATTTTGGGGCACCAGAACCGTGACCGGATGTGGCGGTACCGGTGCCGGTTCTCGGAACCGTTTCGCCTTCCTGGTTGCCGTTACGGTGCTCGGTACCGGCGGTACCGTTTCCGGTGACGGTACCGAACCGGTACCGTGTCCAGCCCTAGATACAACTCTTGCTGTATAAGAAACTTTATTCAAAGTGTACTCTTAGACTTTAAATATGATTGTTACAAGAGGGAGAATTTAGTTGTCCGTGTAATGTGATGTGAAACTTTATTCAAATTGTACTCTTAGACTTTAAAAGTATCATCCACGTATGGACATGTTTTTATTGGTTGTATATTTTACTCTTTAGTGCATCTATAAAGTTATACTCCCTCCAATCTTTTATAAATAGAGAATTTTAAATAGAGAATTAGTGTTTCTATAGTATTTTACTCTTAATGCATCTACACTGAGAATTGGTGTTTCTATAAAGTTATACTCCCTCCAGTCTCATATCTAAGTCCAATTGTGATTTTTTTTACATTTCATTTCAATTCATTCATTTCAATTCCAAAATTTGAAATCTTGAATTTCAAATGACAAAAGGATGTGCATGGATTTCAAATTAAGCTTAGTTATGAATGAGAAGAATTTAACTCAAACCAAATTAAAAATTTTTAAGTTTCCCAAACATGAAATTTGAGCCAAATCTGGATTTAAAATCCAAATCCATGTTCCCAAACATGCCATTAGGTAATTCAAGAAAAAAGTGGATTCGAGCATATGATATTTATATGCAAATGAGTGTAGATTAATACTTCCCCTAGAGTTGGACAAGTCGGTCGTTCCGGTCGGGTTTGTGTTCGATCACCTTGGGTTCGGCCGTTCGGGTTATTTCGAGTTTGGGTAAATTCGAGTTCGAGTCGATTCAATGAGTTATGATTTTCATTTATATTTTTGAAATTTTAAGTAATTTTTATGACTCAGTGTCAATATTATGAAATAAAAAAAATTTAATATTCCAAAGTTTTGAAAATGTAAGATAATTATGCGATATCATTAAAATTTTGTATGAAAATATATATAAATTTATACGTAAAAAATGAGTAGTAAACAAAAGCCTTGTTTGGGAAGGGCACTTTCAATTAGCAGTAGTATTTTGGATAAAATATTAACGGTGTAAATTAATTCAAAAAATGCTAATGCTAAATATTACCGTCAGATAGCTTTTTCAAAACGCTAATGCAAAATCTCTAATGCTGATGCCAAACGGGGCCAAAGAAATATAATTATAATCTTATTTTTATAACATTATATTTCATATTAAAATATATGATTATAAAAAATTCTTACATTAGCGAGTCGCTCAAGTCAGGTTCAGATTCAGTCAAGTTTGACCCGTTTTTATCAGGTCATTTCGAGTTCGGTCATCAAAACCTTTGTTTAAAATCCAGTATTATCGGGTTAAGACTTGTGTCAAAAACAAATCAGGTCTTTTTTTGTCAGGTCGAACTTCCACTGTCCTAGAAAACTTTTCAAAGAAGAAAAAAGGAAACACTTAAAAAGAGTAATTTTTATATTATTTTTTAATTATGATTAATCTATTCCATACATCATATCTTATCTTATTATAAAGTAAGGGTAAAATTAAAAAATAATACTCCCTCTGTCCGGGAATGATGTTCCCAGTCTACTTTTAAATAACAAATCTCCCTAAAATACCCCTCTCATTTAATATCCTAACATCTACCATAACCAATCCTATCTACCCACCCCCTCCCAACCCTTCGCATTCACTCTCGCTTTTTGATTCTGGTCGCATCTATTTCTCGCTCCATCTTCTATCTTCCCAACCCTAGATTACCATCTTCCTCCCCAAATTCTGTAGATCTGCGCCCCATTTCATGGAATCGCATAACTATCTCTACGATTCCATTGTTTATGAGACGGATCTTGAAGAAGGTGGATGTGAGGATTCCTCTGTGATTTACGGAACATCAACTGACGACTAGGAGGAGGACGAGGTGATCGTCATCCACAGCGACGACGATGCCGATGTTGCCCCGGTCAGAGAGAAGAAGGTGGTAATCGACCTTGTTGATGAGGAGGATTCTGTAAATTTTTTTGCCAGCGATGAATCTGGCAGTGAAATTCTTGAGAAACCGACTTTGCCATTGATGAAATCAAGCATGCACCTCCACTTAGACATCCTGAATATATTAATGCCTAGTCCAGATCCAAACTTTTGGGCCTCAACATACAAGTAGGGAAGTTAATTTCCTTTCCTTACAAATCTTTCAGGTTTATTTATGCCTTAAATTTTGAGCCTTTGATTATGTTAAGAAGACTATGTGCATGTTATACATTGTTGCCTCCATGATCTTAATTGCCCAGATTCAATGATGATTAAGCTTGTGTGTCTGGATGTATTCTATGATGTCTGGTATTTGCATCTGTCTGAGAATAATAAAGTACTATGAGGAGCATTTTGAATTCTTAAAATGCCTTTGAGTACCACCATTGCATACCCTTAAATGCCTTTCAATTTCAAACTGTGTGTCTTTGAATTCCCTAGATTCAAAGATGAGTAAGTGAATACTCTGTTGAGCATGTTTTTTAAAATATGCTAAACTACTGTCATGCCTATATTGCCTGCCAAACTTCTATGATGACTGGTATTTGCACCTGTCTGAGAAGATAGAGTACCATGATGAGCTTTTTGAAATCATAAAATGCCTCTGAGTACCACCATTGCATACACTTAACTGGTTTAGGTGTATTATGCCTTTGTCTCTGGTCAGATTCTGTGAGGACTGCTGCTTGCATTGTCTGAGAAACATTAGTACTGTGATGAGCATTTTTTAAGTATGTGAATGACTCTGAGTACCAAATCAGCAATGATGATGTGGGAAAGGGCTGATGAGAATCATTTGTTGCATTTAAGTCACATATAGAGCAGATTGTGTGTAGTTACCTTGATGTGAGTGCAAGAATGTATAATGATGGTGTGGGAAAGGGCATATGAAAACCATATGTTGCATTTAACTTACATATACAGCACATTGTGTCTAGTTACAAAAAGCAAAAACTAATCTGCTAATGTGGCTACCATTTACAAAAAGTAACAGCCCAAAAAAATGGTAACCACCCATAGAATCAGTTCAACTCTGAAGACAACTATTCTTCTTCCTCTTCAGTGTTGAACTCACCCATGTCTGCATTGCTAGTCCCATTCTGTCCAAGAACTGTAACTGTCTTCTGAATTAGGCTTGGGTCTATGGTCAATGACTTAGGAAGGTTCCCTGCCCTGACTGTCTTTCCCCATATGTGGCAGCCTGTAGTTGTTACCTCCTTCATCTTCCATGACTTTGGTTAATACTTGCTGATAAGTCAACCACATCTTGTTTAGGGTTTCAGGCCTTAGAGAACTGTATGCTCCTTCCACTGCCTCTAACAATTCAGTTACTGTGTTTGGAGCACATTGCTCTTTTAAAGACTGAATTGCTCTGAAAAATCCAAGGTCCAACACATTTAGGTCAGGGGAGTTGGGGGGTTGATTACCTAAAGTGATGTGAAACCCATTGGTGTTACCTGCTGCCACAAAGTCTGAGTCTATTCCTTGGATGTGTGGCCTTGCATTATCTTGCTGAATGTGTATTTCTTTGGATAACTATGATGGTCATTTCTCTTGGATAGCTGGAATGACTTTATTGATTAGCATATCTTTTGTGATTTGTTTGGTAACACTGGTGATTGCTTTCACCTCCACCTCCCCCTTTGCCCTGTTTTTGTTGTTCCTTTTAGCTTTGACTCTTTCTGTGAAATAAAAGATCCCCCACTTTCCCATCCCACAACACCTCTTCATTCTCCCCAAAAAGTGGTCTCCCAACCACACATAAGAACATGACTTTGGCTATGAATCTTTTTGATTTACATGCTCTGTAAGGGTCTGCTTCATCTGGGAGGAGGTAAAACCTCTGGGAAGTTTTAGACATAAAGAACCACTTCTAATCGATGTGTAAAACGCTGTTAAATGTTTTAAACTTAGGCACGCTACCCATGTTGTAAGGGTCAACCTGATCTAAACAGAACCTCAGCCTTGTGATCTTATTTGCATCAGTTAAATATGGTTTGATAGCATTAGAATGACTCCTAAGCATACCTCTTTTAACCCACTCATGAACTGTCGACTTAGGCTGCCCAATTGCTGCTGCTAATGCTCTCAGATTAGTCCTCTTCCTCAGGGGAGTGTCTGCAACAACTGTTAAATCCAGAACAACCCTCTTTCTTCCACTATTTCCTGCAATCTTGCTACTCACATCAATGGCAGCCCCCCCGCTCTAATTGTTTCTTTGCAATTGCCCAGATTTTACTGACAGTTTTCCTAGAAACTTTGAAGTTTGAAGCAAGTTTGGTAATCTGCTCATACTGAGCTGAGAATGAACCGTCTGGATTCTGTTTTGAATGTGATAGTAGTGCATCACTAATGAGTTGCCTCGTGTTGTTGTCCAAGTTCTTCGTGTTAATCTCACGGTTCATTATGCGTTATATATGCAGGGAAAAACTGCCTAGCACGGCAGGGAATGAAAGAGGAAAAAAGAAGAAGGAAGGAAATCAAGAAGGGAATGAAGAAGAAGAGGAGGGGAAGAGCATGATGAAGAAAAGAAGGTGCTGCTGAAAAAGGAAATTGCCTGGGGGGTTTAAATGCTTGTAATGAACCCTTTGAATGGGTTTTAGACCTTTTTTTGGGCGGGTGTTAAAAAATTTAGGAGGGAATGTGAATTAATTTTGGATATTTTAGTGATGTAAGTTGTAATTTGATGTAACTTTACCCATACTTTAAATAATGATTATAAGTAGTCATTCCACTTCCTCATTTTCGGCCAGGAAACTGTCCCCTTCCCCCATTATTTAAACAAGGGTATTTTAGTCTTTCTATAGCCATTTTCAAGCCTTCTTAAAAATAAGGAAAAGTCAAACCGGGAACATCATTCCCGGATGGAGGGAGTATTAAAATTACACATTTTTAGGACACATTTTTTCGTCTTTGAATAATACTTTGTGACGGAGGAAGTATGGATAAAACAATTTTTTTCTTAAAAACTTTATTTAAACTCCGTATGAACTTTGTTTTGGAACCTCCATAAAAGAAAAATGTTAAATATGGGATGGGGGAGCAATATGAACAATAGAAGGAGAAAAGAGAACGCAACATATCACACTTCTTCATATATAACATCTACATAATAATTTATCTTACATAACAAGAAATTCATACGGAATGTTTTATAGTAGCCCCGCCGTCCCAATTTATTTGTTCTAGTTTGACTTTTATGCTAACTTTAACCATAAATCTGGGAAAAAAATATTTACCTATAATGTACATTTAATATGACTGGGTTCATTTTAAGATGTAGCTTTGATACATCAAATTTTTATAATTTATTTCTTTAGCATTATACGAAGTATTTAATTTGTGGTCAAAGTTAGCATAAAAGTCAAACTAGGACAAATAATTCGAGACGAGGGGAGTAACAAATCTGAGTACAAATCAGCAAATACGGAGTACTATACTGACCTGTGGGGGTTTCAGGAGAATTTTATGCACACTTCCAGCTGCAGACCACCAAAAGAATCCAAAAGATCGTTTGGAACCAGAAGGAACATTTTCAAAGCCATTTCTTCTGACCAATTCGGGATGTTCTCTGCAACGGATTGCAGTTTAACAGAGCTCTTTCCTTTCTTTGCAACAATGCTGTAAGGGAACCTTCTGGGGGAAGAGGGAGGCGCGACACAAATTATATTGACAGCACTCCCAAGATGCTCATTGCGATGGTTGGCTACAAAGATAGTATCCTCAATCTTCTCTTGAAGATATACCCATTTCTGGTTCTTCTTTAGAGATATGGATTCTGAGGTGTTGAAAATGATATCTTTTGCTGAAGCTCTATGCTCAAGCGAAAAGTGAGTGTAGAGTTTCTGTGAAGGGCCAATGAAAGCACAACTTCGAAAAGGACAAGAGCAAGGAGTATAGGTACATGCAGATTCGTGCTCAGTTTTCTTGTTATAAAAGATGGAATCTTTACAGCCATAATTCACGTTCCGGCATGAGACTTTAATGCACTCAATGACCTTCTCAATAGCTCGACAGCGGTTATATCCGATTGGCCATGCGCAAGATGGACATTTGTTGACAATCTTAACACAGCAAGAAGAACATGCTATGTGGCCGTTCTCACACTATGGTAATAACCAGAAAAGGAGAAATGATGTCAACTTAATAAAATTCTACGGAGCACTATATAAGAAAATTGGCATTTCATTATAAAAGGATTAAAAGGACTCCAAATGAAGCCTAAAGTCATGGTTGGCAAATAATAAATAAAGGAGCATAGCTTAAGGCTCCTTAAGAAAACATCAATTAAGGTAGCTAAGCATGATTGCTACATGTGCAGACCAAGTCAGCATAAATTCTTTTCTCCTCCACACAGAACAGGGTCATGTGTACCATCTAATTTTTGGCACCATAGTATATGGGACATCTCGGGCTGGAACATAACAACTACTCTTATTAGTACAAAATCTTGAAAAAACTGTGATCAAGAAAAAAGGTTTTTTTATGGATAAGGAATTGATCTAACAGAAACAATTTAGAGGATACAGGACCAAATAGCGTACAACTTGTGCNNNCCCCCCCCCCCCCCCCCGCACCAACTAAGACAGTGGAGATTATACAGGGTTGCTGTCGTTGATGATGAGTAAAGAGTAAATAGTAATTGCACATTCGCTAATCACTAACCTGTATGTTGATCACAAGGAAAAAATCAGAAAGGTTGCTCTAGCCTGCATTCTGACTTATTTTGAAAACAAATCTTTTATTTAACTAGTTTTGCCTAGCCCTTAGTTGAATAAGCTTTGGTAACAATGAGGAAACCAGCCACTCAGAACAACCCAAACCTAACTGCAAACATTTAGGCATTTTGTAGCACCCTTAGGCTACAACTTCCAAAATGAGTAGGCAATAAGCAGATGGAACCCTTGAGCTGTAATATAGATGCTTTTAATAAATTAAATTGGGGTCTATATTTATTAGAGCCTTAAGAACTTCCCCAAATATTATGATTCTCTTTCTCTCTCTGCAGGGCTAGGGACAAGGGCAGTCAGCAGTAACCTATAAGAGACAAAAATCTAAAAAAGATGTAATCTCAACTTCTCACTTTAAATACTTTCACCCCTTGAAAGTCCTAACACTCTGGATCTTTTAAAGAGCACAATATCTAAGCGAACTGCAGTTATGTTCGAAGACCATCCAGTCCATTATAAAGATATTAACAACCTGTTTGATAAGGTGAATTCAGCTAAAAAGACCAAATCTGATGAAAATGCTTAAAATACTTGATGATAATATTAAAAATAATAAAGGAAAAATTGTTGCTTTTGATTCATTTCAGCTACTCAAGGGTCCAGGGTCTCTAAAAAGGCACAAAATCATCTCAAAAATACTTCCAGGTGCACATAACTCCTCCCTTCTGAACCTTTTCCATGTCAAAAACATGGATTTTTCTAGATGTTCTTAAAGCAAATTACCATGAAATAAACACAGATTGAAAAAAGGGGAGAAAACATAGACAAGAGGCGCACAGACCTGAAACACAGGAACAGAGAGCGCATCGAAGCAGATAGGGCAATCCAACACATCCGGGTCGGTCAGAGTCACAGAAATCGACCCGGTCGCAATAGAACCATCTGAAACGGAACCCGTCGTCTTCGCCGGAAGGACATCAGTTGCGAACTCGTCCACTTCTTCTTCTTCTTCTTCGTCTTCGTCTTCTTCGTCTTGTGAATCCTCCTGGTCTTCTTCTTCGGGTTCTGCCGCTTCTGCGTCCTCCTCGTCACTCGATACGAAGAGGGAACAGTGTCTCAGCCTCTTGTGCGCCGGAGAACGAGGCGGGCTGCTTGGCCCCTCTCCGTAATCTTCAGAGAGAAGAAGGGAAAATCGAGCCATTTCTTCTGATGTCCTAACGCTGGAGACGTCGTCGTCGATGAAGTTATTAGATCTACGGGTTGCCTTCATTTCTTCCCAAAGGTGAAAAGAAGAAAATTATCGCACCAAGTAAATTGCTCACCTAGAGCTTGACCTCTCCCTCTATACGAGAGTGTATATATCACTAGATCCAAGTAGTACTTGAAGTAAAGTAAGTAGTATTTATTCTCGCATTAACATAAGTATTCATTTTGAAAAACTATATTACTCATTTTGAAAAAACGTAGTACTCATTTTCATACATTTGTACAATATTTATTTAAAAATAATCTAATACACATTCTAAAACCTAGTAGTACTCGTTCCCACATAGCCTAGTACTTACTCTTCAACTAACCATTCATGCCCTAACCGCGGATCCCAAAAACTTCTTCGGAATCATCACCCGCATTATCCCATCATCATCGGTCTTCCTTCTTCATCATCATCACCGGTCTTCCTTCTTCTTTTTCATCACCGCATCATCGCAGGTTCTTCAATTCTGCAGAATCATCACCGGCAAAACCCCATCATCATGAATGGTCTTCCTTCTCCATCATCACCACCGCATCATCACAAAACCCTAAGAATCGATACAAACGCGAAGAACAAATCTGCACATATCATCGATCATCATCATCATCGATCCGCACATCATCCCAAATCTGTGCAAACTTCCGATCGACCAGCCTCCTTCATCATCGATTTCTTCCTTTCGCCTCTATTAAACTCCGGTTGTACCTATCTCTAGGTACAACTGGATACATAATATAATTTGCCCCCTCTATACGGTTGTGGAGTAGTAGACTACGAACTTCTCTCTAGTATTAAATAAATAATGGTGGATGAAGATGGTTAGGAGTTAGGACTTTCAAGATAGGTTAAGATTATTTTGAAATATAATTTTAAATTACTTTTTTATTTTCCTATTTCTTTGATTTTTTTATATTTTTTAGATCTAAAAATTAATTTTACACTTTTCTACTTTATCTTTTAGATAAATATACACTTTTTTCAAATATAAAGAGTATAAATTAAATTTGATTTATTAAAAAACATATAAAAAGTTGAAACATATTTTTTTTCTCAAAATAATAAAAATTAAAACTATTATATAAAAATTATTCAAGCTTTCAATTTATTGTGGAAAAGTTAAAAAAGAAGTACAATTTTGTTTTTCATCAATTTGTAAATTAAAATAATTATAGATAGTATAAAAATTTGATAATAATAAAATCATTTATGTCACATAATGAATAGTATTTTATTAGTCTTTTTGATGTAGAAAATGAGGAGGAGTAAATGAAGAATTTGTGTATTGGGCCCTCAAAAACTGATGTGAAAGAGACAGGTGGGAGTAGTCCGCCCTTTACCCCACCACCCAATGTGGGTAGGGTGTTCAATCAGATCGTTCTGATCCGATCTGAAAATTCAGATATCCAAAAATTTTGGATCATGTAAAACTCAATCTACATCCGATCCAAAAATATTCGGATATCCAAATTTTCAAATCGGATCACTGGATTATCCGAAAAGTTGACTTTTTAGCCAAATTTTACAAAAAACAGGATAAAATAGCAAAATCAAACCACAATATCAAATTCAATATAGATTTACTAAAAGCTAAATTCCAACACAAGGTAATGGCCTAATAAAAAATGATATCAAATTCAATTTGAGAGTAACTTTGGTAATTTGGCCTAAATAAACCAAAAAAAACACTATTAAAACAAAAAGTTCTAAAATGCTAATGCAAAAAGTCTAAAATGCTTGAGTTTCAAAATCAACATAAAATTGCATGAAACATATAGACATAATATATATCCCTAAAATTCCATCAAACATGTAGCCAAAAAAATCGGATATCCGATTATCCGAAAAATTTCAGAATTTGAATCTAAATCCGATCTACTTTTTCTCGGGTATCCGATCTGAAATATCCAAAAACTAAAATATCGGATCGGATATCCATTTTTCAGATCGGATTTGCCTCGATCATAGACGGATATTTCGGATTGGATACTTTTGAACACCCCTAAATGTGGGTACCCTAATATCATTGGTGCCTCCGTGGTTTACAAAAGAGACGCCAAAACTCTCTCTATTTTCAAAAATTATTTGTAAAATTCTTGTAGTTTTTAAATAGTGCACAAACGTCCCCTCTTACCTATTTTTAGAATTAAAATGACATTTATGTCCTTTCTTTTTCTCTATCTTCAAGTTTCACTCTTTTATTTACATTTTCCTTTATTATATAAATAAATAAAACAAAATATATGCTCTCTATCTCAAATTAAAACTTTTCATTTAACTTTTCAAAAAAATTAATTTTCAAGAAAACATAACAAAAAAATAAAAAATGAAATAAAATACACTTTTTTTATTATAAGTGAAAGTAAAATAAAAAATTAGATAACATATACTCACTCTATCTCAAATTGAAAATCTTAACTCATTCGTTTTTTAAAAGTAAAATAATTTGTTAAGGACTTAAAAAAATGAATAACAAAAAGATGAAATAAAATACAAAGTAAAAGAAAAATATTTTTTATTCTTTTCTTTCTTTACATTACCTTTTTAATTATTTTCTTACCTTGTACATAATATTTTACTTCGTTTTTCTATTCTTCATTTTCTTTTGTAACATTCTCTGAAAAAACTTTTTTCTTTAAAAAGACATAAATGAAAATTTTTAATTTGAGATGGAGAGTGTATATTTTATTTTATGTTTTGTATAATACCCAGTAAAAGGAAAATAAAAAGTGGAAACTTAAGATAATGGAAAAGAAAGCTAAAAGTACAAATGCCATTTTAACTCTAAAAATAGATAAGAGGGCATTTTCGCTCTATTTAGAAATCATATGGACTTTACAAATTACTTTTGAAAATAGATGATGTTTTGACGCACTTTTTATAAATCACATGGGACACCAATGCTATTATCCCATTATCCTAACGATCTAACATCTTATGTAGTTATTATGATACTTCTTTAATACTCCCTTTGTCTCGATGTAGATTACAAACTCTTTTTCTTCCTTCTCGATAATTTTTGTTTATTTGTGTATTTTTATTGAATATTTGATAAAATAAAGAGTAATTCCATAATTGGTCCTTTATAACATGTGCTCTCCATATTTAGTCTTTTATTATTAAATATTATCTCCGCGGTCTTTTTATGGTTGCCTTTTCACCAATGGTTCTTTTTTTGATTTTTTGTCATATTGGTGTTAATTTCAAAGCTAAAAGTATAATTTGACATCAACCTTATGTCCACTGATGTATCATAATATTGGTTAGACGCATAACATAAAAATAAAGCAGAAATATCAAAGTAGGACTAAAACATTAAAAATATACCAAAATATGAGAGTTTAGTTTTTAGAGGAACAAAGTATTTAAAACTACATATTAACATTTAGTCCAATGCATCGCTATGACTCTCACAAATGAGAGATTATGTGTTCGATCTCTGGTCTGGGTAATAACTATAACTTTACCGATTTAAATAAATTAAGAATATATGGATAGATATTACCTTGTAATATACTCCCTCCGTCCCAAATTAAATTACACGTTTACGAGTCAAATTTTTATTCACGTTCTTTCCCTATTTTTGTTAGTAATTTGATAAAATAATATACTAATGGCACTATTAGTTTTGTAGATCTTTTGATGTAGTTTCTAAATATGTAATTTTATTTTATAATTTTACACCATTTCCAATCTAAAATGATTTGAAAATAATTTCATTCAAACATCGTAAACCAAACAAGCGATCTAAATTGGGACGGAGGGAGTAGTTATTAGTGTTAAAAAATGTGTTGAAAGATAAGAAAAAATTATCCTATATATTCTTAACTTACCCGGTTTTTCAAAAATAATCTCACCTTTCACTATGATGCATAATAATCCTAACTTTACTAAAAAATTGAAGAAATAATCCTAAACATGACTAAAACATAGAGAAAAGTACCAAAATAGAACTTTCATGTTTTTTTGAAATAAGACTTTACATTGTTGTAATGTGACATTGTACATGTGCACATTACTATATCTTTTTGGTAATTTACATGATCATGTTTAGTAATGTAAGTCCTATCTGGGCATAAAAACATTAAAGTCCTATTTTGGTATATTTTCAATGTTTTCGTCCTACTTTGATCTTTCTCGCTAAAAATTGTGAGTTTTGAGTTGCCGTTAAGTTGCTAACAGCGGGTTAACACAAATGATCTAGTTTGCACAACAAAATGAAAATTGAGATTATTTTTGATGAATTTGGGTTTTTTATCTTCATTTAAATTCTTAAAACAACTTTCTATCTCCATTTCTTTTTCTTCTGTAGAGAATAGAGATTAGTGTTCCTTTAGAAAAAATAAAAAATATATATAGAAATAACCAAAATGAGAAAAATAATTAAAATCATACAAAATTAATAAAATAAATAAGGTAATCCAGAGAAATTAAAATGAAACTGGAAAGAAATTAAAAAAATAAGGAGCGGTGGGTTCTAACGTTTAACTCTCTATGCAGAATATTGATACATTATTTTTTATTTTTTGAAAGAACATTAAACTTGAGATTATTCTAGATTATTCTTCTTTAAAAAATAGTAAAAAGTAGTACATTAATACACTAAAAGATTGGGTAAAATTAAAATTATTTTGGATACTTTTTCTTATGTTTTTTATCACAACTTATTGTCATGGTGTCAAAAATCACCTTGGTTCCCATGACATTGGTTCCTAATGTCATGGGAACCTTCCCCAAAAATTGTGTGCATCTAACTTTAATTGAACATTTAAACCAAGGGTGTTTCTTTGATGCCCAAACAAATGAGAGGGCATGGATGCCCCTCCATAGATATGTTGCCATGTGGACTTGTAATCATATCAATTATTAATCCTTTCATGCCATTTTAATTTTCAAAAATTGCATATTGGCCCTGTCGCTTCCCCCCTAATTAACTCTATAAAATTGTCAACTATTAAACTTGTTTCCTTCGTGATCTCTTATTTTATTTTTTTCATACAAAATCATCTAAAATAAAAATAAAGTGTAAACTTTAACTCAAAAATAGAAATAACATATTTTTATATTTAAAATATGAATTTTTACTGTGACAATGCGACATAGTCCATTGAGATACCGTTCCA